TAGTCTTCTTTTTTTTTTAGTTTGGTCTATGTTCCCAATTACGAAGTAGTCTCTTCGTAATTTTGAGTCATATTCGAAGGGTAACATAAATAAATAAAAAAAAACGATGATAAAAACAAAAGAGAGCGCTCGAATTAAAAAAAAAATTCTACGAGTAGGTGGCGCGCGCAACTCAATGAGTTGTGCGACCCCTACCAGCGCAAGAAATTCGGTTGCACGCGCCTGCCGAGTGCAGCTTAATCTCTTGCGCGCGCCCACTGTTATGAGTCGATTTGATTTTTAAAAAAACAAATCTACTTGTTCAAACAATATCTTCATTAAAGAATTGTTTAAGAGTGATGTTATAGTTCAAATATATCTTGCGTCATTTTTTTCCCCTTTCTTTCAAACAAGCGTATCGATTCACTTATCTTTTCGTACTTCTTTTAGGGCCGGTTTTCAAGCTTAGGAACGAAGACTCCCGAGCACTCGCATTTTAAGTTTACCATCCAATAATCAACCCCTTTCGAACCATTTTCCCTCGACAACTAGTCCTAGCCCAACAACAATGTCAACCATTGAAGAACTTCAACACGAGATTCTTCGCTTGAGAGAGGAAAAGGCTCAAGAAGCCGAGGAGAAAAGAATCAAGAAAATTGAAAAGGCTGAAAAGAAAAATGCTGAAACCTTAGTCTTGCAACAAAAGATGGAAGAATTATCCATCAAAGAAAAGTCGTTGGAGAAGCTAGTTCTTTGTTCTACAATGAGGAACAAGTACTTCGACGCAGAAAAGTTTGCTCCTCCCACAGGACTTGCTTTACCGGAAAAGTTCGTAGCTATGGACTTGCCAATATTTAAGGTGACTAATAATCCAAAAAATCATTTAATGTGTTTTACTGGCTCCATGACATTAAAGGGAGTAGATCCTAAGCTTTATGCTTTGACTTTCCCTTTATCCCTAGACCCAGCCGCAAGAGAGAGGTACTATGGGCTAGATTCGAAATTCAAAACAACATGGGAAGATGTAGTTTCGGCTTTCATTACCCAATATGAGAGTAACATAGAGTTTAAGTCAACTCTACGTGAACTTGAAATGCTTAAGCAAAGGCGACGATGAAGGTTTCCTTGCTTTCTATGGTAGATGGCGAGAAAAGGTGGCCCACCTTGCCCAAAGGCCACCTGAACTCGAGTTAGTACAAAAATTCATTGACAACTGTCATGAAAAGTACAACAAGCATCTACGCTACCTTGGTTTAGATACTTTTTCAAAAGGTCTATTCTGTGGCTACTAGGATTGGAGATGATCTTGCTAAATAAAAAGCAAATAAACTCCATTATCATCATCAACCTAAGAATAACCACAAAAAGGGGAATGATAATACATCATCCTCTGTTGATGTGTTTGCGACCACCACGCAATACAATAATACAAATCAATACAACAATAATGATCCTAGAAAGAGATGGACAAAAGAAAGAAAATTTACACCATTTCCTATAAGCTATAAAGAATTATTAGAAAAACTAAGTGAAAAAGGCTTACGTGCGCCAACTGGGCCAACACCACCCATTCCACCAGAAAGAAGGTTTCCTCAATGGGATGGTAATGCTTATTGTGCTTATCATAGAGGCGTTGGACACGATATTGAACGTTGTTATGTCTTCAAGCACAAAATACTAGATTTAGTAGACGATGGGAGAATTCCCATGCCTAAACCTAACAATAACATCCCCATTAGGGGTGTTTCATATTGATGAGGACCATATGGGAAGTGATACGTTCAATCCTTTAGACTATAACACACCTATAGGAAAACCTCTAGCCACAATACTCATAGGGGCAACTAATGAAGTATGTGAACTATGGGAAGACGACTTTCAAGACTTATATGTCTCTAAGTATGCCGCCGTCCCACCTCCATCTTGTTTACAAAATGAGACAAATGGAGCGCTTGATTGGGATCATTTCTTGGGGAAGTCACAAGACTTATCAAATCTCTCCTTGGATGAACAATGGCATCAAGAACAACTCATGGAACATCTTGAAATGGAGGCACATCCAAAGCCTCTAGAAGAAAGTTGGCTCGTGAGTCCTACAACTAATCCAAACGAGATAGATCATCTAACTCGTTCTGGGCGAGTTTACCAAGCACCACCACCACCAAATGGATCTTCGACCACACAAACTCAAGGTTAAGTGCAAGATACAATACCACCTCCACTTGAGGTGGAAGATACATTGGTTAAACAACTTCGCCAATCCAAGGCGAATGTTAGCATTTGGGAACTCCTAAGTACTTCTAAAGAACATAGGAATTCTCTTATGAATGCTCTAACGGCTTTGTCTGTAAGCACAGACACAACCCCTCAGGATCTCGTTAGCTTTCTTACTAGCGAGAAATCCGACAAATCAATCATTTTCACTAATGATGATTTGCCTTCAAAAGACACTGCCCACAACAATGCATTATACCTAACTGTGGGGTGCAAGGGATACAATATCCCTCTTACTTTGGGGGACAATGGGTCAGCTGTAAACGTATGCCCATTGCGAACTGCAAAATACTTAGGCCTTAATCTAGAAAAAGATTTTCAATCAACAACACAAAGCACTAGGGCCTACGATAACTCGAGAAGATCGGTGTGTAGAACTGTTAAGCTACCAATTACCACAGGTCCAATTCAAAAGATGGTTGAATTCCATGTTATGGACATTAAACCTACATTCAACCTTCTACTTGGACGTCCTTGGACACATGAGCTTGGTGCAATACCATCCCCACTTCATCAAATTATTAGGTTGAACTATCAAGGGCTTCCTATGACTATACATGCTTCTCCACTCAAAATAGCTATAAATGACCAATCACTTTTGGAAATAAACCATGATAATGATGAAGAGGACATGTGGGGATTTTTTGTGGAGCCAATCTGCACAATTGAAATGGAAGAAAGCCTTGAAGAGCCATTCAAGCTTGATCCATATTCCACCCAAATAGTAAACAACATCTTATTCAAGAGTAGTTACTTTCTTGGGATGCCTTTGGGAATAGGAATGAAGAAATATCTCTTACTTCCTATCCCAAAGAAAAGTTTCTTCTTTGGATTGGGGTATAAACCAACCAAAGATTAACTAGAGTCTCACGATACGAAAAACAAAGCACGTAGAGACAACAACAAGAAAGGGATAATCACTTTACTCCCATCCTATCAACAAACCCTTAATGGGCAATTCATTAGGGAGGAAGAAGATTACCCTTTTCCAGAACCATTAGTTCTGGAAGGAATCAAGAAGCTTGGATTCGAAATATTCCACGATTGCTACTTCTTGAATGACGATCCTAGAATCTTTGAATCAAAACACCCAATTTCAGGGTGCTATGATGGGCAAGCATTTAACTTGCTATTTGGACTAGAGCAAAATTATGTCGTTACAATGACCAATCAGAATGCCATTCAAGAAGAAGTTTTTGACCCAACCTCGTTGATCACCCCTTCAAATGAAACCTTTGAGCATAGATGGAAGATATCTTTCAAATGGACCAATCACAAAGGCGATAAGCTGGAGATCATCACAGGCGAAGGGAAGATGTTTGAAGAATCAGACAATGAATTTAGTATAGACTCTAGGGAACCTGAAAATCTAGGCCTTGTGGCCATTACTGAATCTTTATTTTCTAGTTATAAGGATGAGAATCCCAAAAAGGATTCTTCTCTTGATGTACCCTCTTTTGATTTTAATAATATGAGCTCTATTTCCGGGTATATTCCTTCTCTTGAATCTTTTGAATGCTATAATAATCAATCTAGTGAAGATGATAATATCAATAGATTGGTTGAACTAATGAATGAACGAGAACAAAATAACCCTATCATTGAAGAAACTGAAATAGTCAATATAGGAATTAATGAAAACAAAAGAGAAGTTAAAATTGGCTCAACTCTAAATCCGGAAGAGTGATCGATCCTCATACTGACGCTCAAAGAATTCGAAGACGTGTTCGCTTGGTCATACAAGGACATGCCTGGAATAGATAGGGAAATCGCGGAACATACCTTTCCCTTGAACTGATATGGAATAATAGTGAAAAATCCTACCTCTCTTGGAACCTTCGAAATTTAGTAGCTTAATTGTTATTTTAGATTTTGCTTACAAGTTTTTACCTTTCACTTGAAAGGGTTTTTCTTGTTTTAAGCGGTTAGGATTTATTTCCTTATTTTAATCTTTTATTTTGATTAGTTTTTAAGTTTAAGATTAAGTTTAGGAAATTTTATCTTTTAAATAGTTCTATCTTTATTAGAAGTGTGTTTAGGAATTTGACTAGTTGATTTTATCTAGGACTTCTAATGTAATTAGAAATCTTAGTACTTATTTGTAGCCTATATAATGGCATTTAGGCTCTTAATAAAAATAAGTTTTTGTCAAATTGAAATTTATAAAGGTTTACGTAAGCTTGTGCTTGTGTATTCTTGGCCTAATTTAGGTTTTAAGCTCGTGTTTCTTAGCGTTTCTTGACCGAGACTCAAGATTCCAAACCTTTCAACTGCGATTGAAGGTTATATCCATCAAAATCCATATCAAATTGGTGTGGCTGCTGTTTGACGATGGACGAGTTTGACAATTTGTGTCAAAAAACTCAGTTTCGAATGTCATATTGATCGACTTGGTTCTCCTTCGTTTCTAAAGATTTTGAGATGATTCTTTTTTTTAAATTGGTTAATCTTTTGTCTAGTTTTCACCTGCAAAATTTGAGAACTTTTTGAGAAGCATAGCTATTAAACTGGGTTCGTTCTTTACACCTGGTCAAAAATCAAATTAATCTGCCATTGTTGAGAAAAAAATAAACTGCGATTACTTGGCTTGGAATTTTTTTCTGAATTTTTGGTCGAGTATTTTAGACTGATAGGGCTAGCAGTATACAAAATTTCAGAATTTTTTGAGGTGTTTTCATTGGGTTTTTGTCCTCGTACTTTCGATCAATTTCTGGACTGGTTTTGTGTGTTTAATCATTAACTTAAACATGGTGAATCAAGCTGAATTTGCGGCATTGTTGGATGAGCTCAAGAAGATTAATGCTCGGTTGGATAAGTCGGAAGAAGTTACTGCTTTACTCCAGCAAGAACTACATAACCGTGAACCACCTCCGCTCATACGCAATCACACAGTTGAGGAGATAAAGCTTGCTGATTTGCCTAGCTTTGACGGTGATGGTGATCCAGACTTATACTTGGATTGGGAGAGGAGAATGGAACGTATATTTGCACACAAAAATCTGGACGATCACAAACATTTCAATCACGCTATCCTCAAGATCACAAGGTATGCTTCCCTTTGGTTTGATTCCATGCAAAATAACCGTGAAAGAGAAGGTAAGCCACAACTCTCTACTTGGACAGATTTAAAGACTAAGATGAAAAAACGATTTGTTCCACGATCTTATAAGCAAGACTTGTATTTGAAATTAAATTCTTTGACACAAGGATATATGTCGGTTGCTAATTATACCAAAGAATTCGAAAGACTTTATATTGCTTGTGATTGCAAGGATGAAGAGGAACAAAAGATTGCAAAATTTGTGATTGGTTTGAATACTTCTCTACGTAATCAAGTCGAAGTACTACCCTTGACTACTTTTGATGATGTTTGTATGATTGCTTGCAAGTTAGAGAAGCAAAAGAAGCCATACCCTTCTATTAAGCCGCAAACCGAAAATTATGATATTGCTCCAGGTTCATTAGATGCCACGTCTAAGCATGACAAACTTGTGTCAAACTTAAAGCAAGGGCAATCTTCTCTGCCTCAAAGTCAACAAAAGATGAAACAAATTGTTTGTTTTAAGTGTCAGGGCATGGGGCATCTTGCTAAGCAATGTCCAAACAAGGCACTTATTACTAAGGAGGAATACTACACATTTTTATCTCAAAACGTGGATGAATTGGATGTGCTTGAACAACAACACCAACAAGCCTTAGTTAAAGACAAATCGCAAGATGTGACGGATTCTTATTTTTGGGAAATTCAATAGGTTTGCTATGCAGAAAATGAGCCTAAGAGCTTGATTATAAGGAGGTCTTTATTACCCACGCTTGATGAGAAAGAAGATGAGCAAAAGTCTAATCTTTTCCATTCTAAGTGCCTAATTAATGGTAAAGTTTGCTCTTTTATAATTGATAGTGGCTCTTGTACAAATGCTTGTGCTTTGTCTATGGTGGATTCGCTTCAATTACCTACAAGAAAGCACCCTCAGTCATACAAATTGAGTTGGTTTAATGATGACAATGGTGTGTGGGTTAAAAAACAAACTTTGATTGGTTGTAAAGTAGGTGACTATGTGGATCAAATTTGGTGCGATGCCGTGCCAATGACCGCATGTTCTTTGCTTCTTGGACAACCTTGGCAAAGTGATAGACACGTTTTTCACAATGGCAAGACTAATGTCTATTCGGTTCTAATTGGAGACAAGCGTTTAGCCTTGCATCCCTTACCTCCTATACGTCCACCTATGCCTAAAGAACAAAAAGGAGGCGTTGCTCATGTGTGTTTTAGCTCGTGCCATCAGGAGGTGCTTGATTGTTCAAACGATAAGAGAGAACGAAGGGACAAATTGCTCCAAATGCGCAAAGGAACTAATCTGCAAGAGGGATCGAAAGTGTGGTTGTCCTTAAATGCTCAACGTATGCATATTGATCACAAGAATGGTGAACCAATGGATGAGGGACCGTTTGACATTGTTGAGAAGGTTGGCTATGAAACATTCAAGGTTCTTCTAGGGAATGGAGTTTGTGCTACTCTTCCTTCGTCCGATTTGGTACCTTGCTTTGAGGATGAAACTTGAGGTCAAGTTTCTTTTCAAGAGGGGGAGTATGATATGGAATAATAGTGAAAAATCCTACCTCTCTTGGAACCTTCGAAATTTAGTAGCTTAATTGTTATTTTAGATTTTGCTTACAAGTTTTTTTACCTTTCACTTGAAAGGGTTTTTCTTGTTTTAAGCGGTTAGGATTTATTTCCTTATTTTAATCTTTTATTTTGATTAGTTTTTAAGTTTAAGATTAAGTTTAGGAAATTTAATCTTTTAAATTGTTCTATCTTTATTAGAAGTGTGTTTAGGAATTTGACTGGTTGATTTTATCTAGGACTTCTAATGTAATTAGAAATCTTAGTACTTATTTGTAGCCTATTTAATGGCATTTAGGCTCTTAATAAAAATAAGTTTTTGTCAAATTGAAATTTATAAAGGTTTACGTAAGCTTGTGCTTGTGTATTCTTGGCCTAGTTTAGGTTTTAAGCTCGTGTTGCTTAGCTTTTCTTGACCGAGACTCAAGATTCCAAACCTTTCAACTACGATTGAAGGTTATATCCATCAAAATCCATATCATGAACCCTACCTCTAAACCAATAAAACAAAAACTTCGACGAATGAAACCTGATGTCGCATTAAAAATAAAAGAAGAAGTACAAAAAGAATTGGACGCAGGTTTCATACGCGTATGTAATTACCCAAAATGGGTAGCGAACATCGTCCCAGTCTCTAAAAAGGATGGACGGGTTTGCATGTGTGTCGATTTTAGGGACCTTAGTAAGGCTAGCCCTAAAGACGATTTTCCTCTACCACATATTAATATATTGTTAGATAACACGGCTGAACATGTGATGTTATCCTTTATGGATGGATACGTAGGTTACAACCAAATTTTAATGGCAAAAGAAGACGAAGAAAAGACGCGCTTTTTTACCCCTTGGGGTACATATTGCTACACAGTCATGACATTTGGTTTAAAAAATGCAGGAGCTACGTATCAAAGAACGACTACGACTCTCTTGCATGATATGATGCATAAATAAATAGAAGTGTATGTGGATGATATGATCGTAAAGTCCAAAGATAGAATGGGACATATAAAAGCTTTACGCAAATTTTTCGCTCGCATAAAAGAATATAAAATGCGACTGAATCCACAAAAATGCGCCTTCGGGGTAACTTCTGAAAAGTTACTCGGATACGTAATAAGCACACGTGGTATTGGGATCGATCCCTCTAAAATAAAGGCAATTGTTGACATGCCTCCCCCTCAAACTGAAAAAGAAATTAGGTGGTTCCTTGGCAAACTACAGTATATTAGTCGATTTATCAACAAATTGACTATGACTTGTGAGCCGATATTTAAAAAATTAAAGAAAGAGGAAAAACATGAATGGGACGATCAATGCCAAGAGGCCTTTGAGAAAATCAAAGATTATCTCAAATTCCACCAATTTTAGCACCACCAGTACCCAAACTACCTCATAGGCTATATATCACAGTTACAGACACGACCATAGGCGCCATGTTAGCACAAGAGGTAGAAAAAGTTGAGCGTGCAATATCTTACATAAGTAAGAAGTTCATTCAATATGAAACAGAATATAGCACACTGGAAAATACAAGTCTAGCATTAGTGTGGGCAACTAAAAAATTACGACATTATATGCTACCACACACCACTCATGTGATTTCTCAACAAAATCCGATAAAGTATTTGTTTGAACAACCACCTATACAAGGAAGAATATCCAAGTGGTTGGTAATGTTGGCCGAATTTGAGCTAAAATATATTCCTGAAAAATCAATGAAAGGAAAAGTAATTTCCGATTCTCTAGCCCAACATCCAATTCAAACAAGTCATGTGGAAACTACTCATCTTTCGGATGAAGAGATTCTTATGACACAAGATGACAAATGGGTAATGCACTTTGACGGTGCGTCCATTCAAAAAGGATGTAGTGTAGGAGTGTTACTCATAAGTCTAGAGGGAGCACATACTCCAATATCTGTCAAACTAGACTTTGAGGTTACGAATAATGCCGCGGAATGTGAAGCGTGCATTATTGGATTAGAAGCAGCAGCTAGCATAGGTGTGCAAAAACTAGAGGTATATGGAGATTCAAGTTTGATTATAAATCATATACCGAAAAAATGGAAAATAAAGAACTCCATAATAATATTATAACCAGCACACCTAGAGCAACTCATCGAGCATTTTGAACATATTGATTTTAAATATCTCCCAAGGGATGATAATCAATTTGCCGATGCGCTAGCAAAATTAGCCTCAATGATCAACATTCCTGATCACTTAAATGTGATGCCATTATGCGTTGATAGAAGAGAAGAACCAGCATATTGCAACGCAAGGAAATAAATGACATCGAAGGAGATAATCCTTGGTATGATCATATCCTCTTATATAAAACCCATGGCACATATCCTGAAAATACTTCATCGAAAAACCAACGAGCCTTAAGAACACTTGCGGCCCAATACGGTCTAGTAAAAGGTCAATTATGCAAAAAGGGACCTAATGGTCAAAGCTTATTGTGTATAGACCAACCTAAATCCACACGCCTTATGGAAGATACTCACAAAGGTGTTTGTGGACCTCACATGAATGGTAAAATGCTTGCAAAAATAATTTCACGACAAGGGTACTATTGGTCCACTATGGAACATGATTGTATACAATATGTTAAAAAATGTCCAGAGTGCCAAATGTTCGCTAATTTACAACACCTTCCACCATCCGAACTATACAACCTCACTTCCCCTTGGCCTTTTTTAACTTGGGGAATTGACATAATTGGTAAAATTTCTCCAACAGGAGCAGGAGGGCATAAGTACGTATTAGTAGCCATTGATTACTTTACCAAGTGGATTGAGGCTGCTTCTTACGTGAATATCACTTCTAAACATGTCGCAAAGTTTCTCGAACAAAACATATTTTGTAGATATGGAGTTCCACATGAACTAATTAGTGGTTAGAGATCTCAATTCAAAGCTGAAGTCGAGACCCTCTTAACTCGTTATAAAGTAAAACATCATCACTCATCACCATACAGGCCTCAAATGAATGGAGCTGTAGAACCGGCAAATAAAAATATAACAGTCATCATTAAGAAAATGGCAGAAAATTATAAGGACTGGCCGAATAAACTACACTTCGCATTATGGGGTTATAGAACGTCCATACGAACATCAATAGGAGTAACTCCATACTCCTCAGTTTTTGGAATGGACGCAGTTCAACTAGTCGAACTGGAAATACCATCCCTATGCGTCGTACTCGAAAGTAAGCTACCGGAAGCTGAATGGGTAAGAGCGAGGTATGAAGAGCTTTTATTCCTCGATGAACGCCGATTAAGAGCTTTGCATCATGTACAAGTCTACCAACGGCGCATTGCGCGTCATTTTAATAAAAGGGTAAAACCTATAAATATCAAAGAAGGTGACTTTGTACGACTAAAGGAGGTTAGGGTTCCACCAACTGATCCAAGAGGGAAATTCAAGCCTAATTGGATAGGTCCCTACCGCGTAATTAAAATCCTATCAGGAGTAGCTGTCAGAATAATGGATATTGGAGGTGATGAAATTCGCCAATTAATAAACATTGATCGACTTAAAAATTATTACATATGAAATTCGAATAAAATCGTTCATTCATTAAATAAATCATTTTTTTTAGCATTCAATAGAAAGATTCTAAGTGTTATGCATTTTACCGAATAACAAGGTAAAGCACATAACACTTGGGGGGTAATTTGAAAAAATAATAGGCCATTCTAAGTGTTCATAGTTTTTTCGAACATCACGAAAAACTCTTCACACTTGGGGAGTACTAATATGCAAAAAATAAATAATTTTTTTAAAACACTCGTAGTACAGGTGTCACGTGCAACTGGAAGAGTTGCGCGCGGATGTCACTCGCAACAAATTTCGTGGCGCGCGACAGGCTCGCACAACCTCGGATGTTACGCGCGCCACCTGATGATGAACTGTGAACCCGCATTTTTTTACGCTTGAATTAAGTTGCGACTTTTACTTGCGACAAAAAGAGGGTGTTTCTTGAATATAACCTGTACTCGGAAAATAAAAATTAAACTTTGATTTAATTCTTTTAAAGAAAGTTTGATTAATTTTTCATTTAATATCTACTCAAGAGATTAAAGAAAAATTAAAATTGTATATATATATAATAATAATAATAATAATAATAATAATAATAATAATAATAATAAAAGAATATTGTAAGAGAACTACGCAAAGACCTGATTTCGTATTACGAATACGTAGGCAATCTTTATGATTCGATCATATCAAAATAATAAAAAAAAAACATAAGGCTCATATTTATTTTATTCAAAGGTCAAAATAAGAGACATTATTGAACTAGATAGTTAAAAAAAATATATAGTAGTGATTACTTTATTCAAATTAAACTAATAATGAAATTGTGTAACACTCTTAGGTTTTACTATGTCCTCAATTTTCACGGATGATGGAGGAGTAGTCTCCATTGCAGTATTTTCAGAAACCTTAGAGATCTCCCCCTCACTCTTCTTCTTAACCCACACATTGTTCTTCAACTTGGGAATTGGGGTCTTTTCATCTTTTTTCTCCTTTTCTTTAGCTTTTGTTGGGGCCCTTTTGCGAGTATGTTGCGAGGATTCCTTGATTATCACACCTTGTTGCGCAGGTTTGGAGGGAGCTTTTCTTTTTGTTTCCTTCGAATGAGCCTTAGGAGATGAGAAGTCTAATTTTCTTCTCACTCCTTTGTTTTGGCCACTAGGAGGAGTAGTGGTGGCCGAATGCATCAACGGCTTAGGTGGATTGCGAGCCATGCCGGCTTGATGGTGAGATCGAGCCTTGTTTAATTCGCCCTTATTCGCCGCATTCATTCAAGCTTTGTAAAGGAAGATAGTACAATACTCGCGGTAGGATTTGGTACTACCCATCTAGGAAGACTTGACCAATATTCCATCCAACGAGGAATTTGTTCAGGTTTAAAGATCACATCTTTA